TAAATACTTAGTTTTAGACATTTTTGCTAATTTCTAGATCGTTTTTGGAGTGTGTGTGTGTGTGTATATATATATATATATATATATATATATATATATATATATATATATATATATATATATATATATAAGTAAGATAATTTTCCAATGGAATGAGTACTTTTACTCTTAAAGTAAGACAATTAGATAATATGCTCTTGAAAATAAGACAATGCAATTGTTTTTCCTTATTTTAATTGTAGATTGTATTGTTCCATTGGCAAAGTGTCTCACTTACCTAATTTCAAGAAAAATGACACATCTATATATATATAGATATATAGATATATATATATAGATAGATAGATATAGATATATATATTTTTATATAGCATTTTTTTCATATGATATAATTTACCCCGCAAAACAAACACATTTTTATACAAATAAATGAAAATAGGCATTGAAATAAGCATTGAATTAAGTATTTACTAGTAACAACCTGTTGAAATGGTCCTGGCCCCAGTTTTGGCTCCAATACCAAAGACATAAAAGAGAAGACATTTATTATGAATATATTATATGCAAATGATATGATTGTTGGTGCCAGACAGACAGAACTGAGAAAATATCCATTAAGCAGCAGTTCTGTGGGCAAAAATGCCTTGTTGACTCCAGAGGTCAGAGGAAAATGACTAGACTGGCTCAAGCTAATAGAGGTACAACAATCATTGAAATAATCACTCATTGTAACCGGGGTATGAACTCTGAGGCAGATAGACTAAAGCAGCAAAAGACCACAGTGGGTCCAACCCCGTACAAGCAAGGTGTACCTAATAAAGTGGCCGGTGAGTGTATACATTAAAATATAAATGTATAATCTTTAGGCAAAACAGACTTATTCCAAATAAAAAAAAAATAAAAATAAAAAGTTCTCCAATTTCTCATTTAAATTCTACTTATCTCAAATATACAGACATGACTACAATTGCATGGAACTCTAACAATTTTTAGGATTTAGGGAGTTCAGAGAGGTTAGTATAGCCATTTAATTTAGAAACATTTGTAAAGTTGTGATTATTGTGCTTTAATTTACTCGTAAATCTTTATTTATTTATTTATTTTTTTTGCTTGCCATAGTTTTTTTTTCCTATATGGTAACTGTCAACTTTAGAGGAATGTCCCTTATTGTCAGCTTAAATCACAGAAGCGGAACCACTATGGTGCTAATATACAGAGAAAAGGCTGTTCTTTAGTTAATTTTTAAATGTTGTTCACTCTGCAAACTTTCTTCAGATTCTGAAACTCACCTACTTCAGATGTTTAAAGCTAGTAGCTGGTTAGTTTATTACAATAAACAAAATGTTTTCATACCATTGCTGAGACCTTTGCGATGTATTGAGATGTTTTATTTTGAACTTTTTAAAGGTTCCAAATTATTTGTATTTTTCTACTATTTCTAATCTAATTAGGGTCTTTTGTTTTTTTAGTTTTACTAGACACAGAGACAAATATGTAAATACCTTCCGATCTGATTTGGTTACATATTAGTCATTGCATATCGGTATTTTTTGTGTCCTATTTGATAAGTAATATTATTAATTACATCTATCTATCTATCTATCTATCTATCTATCTATCTATCTATCTATCTATCTATCTATCTATCTATCTATCTATCTATCTATCT